CCCCCCCCCTAAGCGTCGTCCTGGTCCTGTTAATGATCTGAGATAGTAGGGGAGAGATAGGGGGTGGGTGGGGAGTGACCCCTGACACTGAACGAAAGCTGCCCAGATCCGAGAGAGGCCATCCGCGTTGGCGTTCCCGGCTCCAGCCCGATGACGTACCACGAAGTGGAAGTCCTGGAGCGCGAGGAACCATCGAGTCACCCTGGCATCCTTGGCGCGGGCCATCCACTGAAGGGGTGCATGGTCCGTGACCAGGGTGAACTTCCGGCCCAGGAGGTAGTAGCGCAGCTCCAGGACTGCCCACTTGACGGCCAGGGCCTCTTTCTCCACCGCGGCGTAGTTCCTCTCGGCCGGGATCAGCTTCCTGCTGATATAAATGACCGGATGCTCCTCACCTTCCTGGATCTGTGACAGGACGGCTCCCAGTCCTGTGTCGGAGGCATCCGTCTGCAGCAGGAAGGGGCAGCTAAAGTCCGGGGCTCGGAGGACGGGCTCCGAGATGAGGGCCCCCTTCACCCTCTGGAAGGCCTCTTCCGCTCCTGGTGTCCACTGTATCTTCTCCGGCTGACCCTACCTGGTCAAGTCTGTAAGGGAGGCGGCTAAAGAGGAGAAGTTGGGGATGAAGCAGCGATAATACCCCGCCAACCCTAAAAAGGCTCGTACCTGGGTCTTGGTCTCGGGTCTCGGAGCGGAGCGCACCGGCCAGGCGCCGGGAGCGGCCGAAATGGTCACCCTGCGATCGGGAACTTGTCGTGTATCCCCGTGGACACAGGCTATGGGGAGGAAGGCTTTACACTCCGTTCGGGGGGCGAGAACATGCGACTGGACCAGAGTGACCGCACTGCCTGAGTCCAGGATGGCCCGGAACGGCTTTCCATTCACTTTCACTTCCACCTCTGGAGCTCCAACCGACAGGTCGCGGTGCACAATGCAGCCTGCCAGCCAGGTCCGCGCTCGCTCCCCAGCATCCCGGTGTTGGGCCGCATCCGCCAGCTCGACAGCCTCCACCAGCTCAGAGGTGGCGTTGAGCGGCGGCAGCACACAGGGCCGCAAGCTCCTGCTCTGTCTCCCCTTGACGGGTGGCGAGGTGCTCAACGATTTGTTGCTGGTGGATGCTAACCTCGGTGAGTCGCTGGAGGATGGGGTCCGGCAGCGGAACGCGTTGAGCGTTGAGCATTCGTCCATGTTGGGGAAGGAGCGCTCGCCTGTGACAGAACCCAGAGACAAAAACAAGGAAAAAGGTGAGGGGAAGAAAATCGCTAGTCGGTGATTCTTCACTGATTTACCTGCATTCTCCACCAGTGTAACGGGGTGAAGAATCACACGACAAGGAAATCTCAATCAATACCCCGGAGGGTGGATTTATTGGTGTGGTGGGTGATAGGGAGAAGGGTCCAGGTAGGTGCTCTGGTGCCGTGAGTGCTCTCTTCCGTCTTCCCAGTGCAGAGGGTCCGTGCAGTGCTCCTGTGGGGCTGGTCGGTTACACGCTGCTGTCTGTGGGAGAAATGAGAGGGCGAGTTAGTGCTCAGTCTCATGGAGAAGTCTCCCAGATGGCAGGGCTTGCGTGGCTTATGTGGCCGCCGCCTGATGAGCTGCAGCTGTGACCGATCAGCCTGTGATGAGGACGGCCAGGTGTTCCTTGCTTGTTTCCAGGGCGACGCTGATGAAACTTCGGGACGCTCGTCACAATAGGTACATACATATTTGCAAATATGTACTTTTATTTGTACATGTTATTGTATGTCTATTTGTACGTATTGTACATCTATCTATCTAGAATATACTGTATAAATACAAAATAAAAATGTGGATCTGTTTATTTATTCACTTATTTTTATAAGGACAATATACATTAATTTTGGTGTTATATAAATGTCCTATCAATGTCAGTAGTGTCCCTGGTCTGGATAGGATAATGTACCCCAGTCAACACGTGAGATCATGCGATGATCACAGTGACATCACACGATCCTCATACTGTGATCCTCGTTACATTTAGCGGTGCGAAAGGCCCTATAGTGATGAACATTTGTGTTAGGGACTGTTGACTGTGGAATTGTTACACTGGAGAAATGGTGAGTGGTTTCTTTAATTGCTATTCACATATGCTAATATGATATTATAAAACCAATATGCACTGTGGCCTGGCCCCATGTTAGCATATTAGTCAGGTACACGTGTTAGCCAGGTACATGTGAACCAGCCATCTTGCCAGCTGAGATGTAGAATTAGTTAAGCCAGGAACACACTACACAACTGTAAGGCTGGTTATGAATGTAATTTGATACTTAAAACTGATCACACCCAAATGTGTCAGAGCCATTTGCGTTCAGTTGGTGTTTACAGTCAGCATTTAAAATCATAAGTGTGTTCAGTTCAGTCTATGATTCAGTTAGTCGTTAAGTGTGTCCCTGGCTTTAGGTTACATATCAGTATTTATGATTTGTTATACTTCCCATAGCAGGTCATTACTAGGCTACATTACTAACTCGGGATCATATTTCAATAACTATACAAGCATGTTTTGTGGAAGCATGGATGCATGATTTGTTTCATATTTTGTTTAACTAATAGTTATTTTCACCTGTTAGGTTGTTAGCAACTGATTGCAATGACATATTGTTCTCTGTGTTTCAAATTGTGTCAAGTCTTTCCAAAGGGACAAAGAAATAGAAGTTAAGAATAAAAAAGGAGTCACCAAAACAACACCAGAAGCAGAATGTATGTCAAATTGAAATGTTTGTGTCAAATGCAAACACCAAACTGAAAATAAATCAAAATAAACAAGGAAACTGAATTGTAGAACTACTTTGAAGGAAATAAAAGATGATATTCTACATGTTTGTGATATTACTGGCCAATATTAGAGAAATTTTAGATCACAGTTAACTCACACTAAACTAACAGAATGAGTTTAACACAATGATATGACAGTGGTCTCACATGTTGAGCTTACAATATGAACACACACACACATTGCGACCACAGTATGAGCACACAGTGAGTGTGCTGTGTGGTTACACTTTTAGCTCACTGTGACACACACATTGTGACCACACCATGAGAATCAT